TTTATATATAATTTTTATTTTTTTTTTTTTTTTTTTTTTTGGAGATATATCTACTATTTATTTTTTAATTCTATTTATAAAGAAAAAAATATTCTTACTAATACAAATTCATCATATTACTTTAAAGTATTCACTTGGTCAATAAAATAAAATTTATATCGTATTATTAATATAAAAATGATAGTAAAATAAAGTTTGTAAAATTAAAAGAATAAGTCTATGCAAAATATAGTAAAATTGAATCAAATATATATATATATATATAAAAAAAAAAAAAAAAAAAATACTTTTTTATATTATATATTTAAAAAAAATTACGAAAAAAAAGTTTTTAAATAAAATATATATATATATATTTCAAATTTTGTATATTAGTGATATTACTAAAAAATCAAGAATATTTTTATTTGAATATTTAATTATTGTATAATAAAAAAAATAAAAAAAAAAAAAAGAAAAATTAATTAAATTCTTTTATAAAATAAAATTTAAATTTATGTTTATATATATTTTTTAATTGAAATAAATAAAAAAATTTAAATGTGATTCCAACATAATAAAATAAAATTATTATAATATTATTCATAAAATAATATTTTTTTTTTAAAAAAACTTTAGGAAAAAATGTCTTTTAAAGAAGTAAATAAAGTTACTCAAAAAAATGAGATACGAAAAAATTAAATATACCGTAAAAAAAAATATAATTTAGAGATAATTATTATAATCAATATTTTTAAATTTTATATGATTGTATAAAATATATAAGAGTATAACTAATAAAAATTTTTAAAATATTTTATACACATTTTATAAAGAATATTGAGACAACTTGAAATGAACACTTTTTTTAAAAATGACAAAATTTTACTATTTAAACACTTTTTTCTGCATTTTCCCTAGTTCTGTAAAAAAATAAATATTCATATATGCAATCATCATGATCTAGTTGAAATTCGTCAAAAATTATATTATTTCCATCTGATTTTTTTAAAAAAACAATAGAATTGCCTCCTTGATTTTTAATTTGAGCATTTAAGTTTCCTGATGTTGGATATTCATAATTAAAAACGTATGATTCGTTTGTACTATTTATTTTCCAAATCAATTGGTTAATTATATAATTAAATTCTAAGATTCCACAAGAACCAAGAACAATAGATGCATCTTCATTATGATTAAATGTAAAATGTTGATCTTCCTCACTAGTTTTAGGAACACATATACCATCTTCATTTTTATAATTTTCTTTACATTCACAATGTACTTCATTATTCCTAATTGAGCATACTGAATTTCTTGAGCAACCACCATTATCTTTTAAGCAACGATTTTCTAGTACACATTCTCCATCTTTTTTAGAATAGTTAAACATACATACACATAATGGATTTTTATTTATTAAATTAATACATATAGCATTTTCTGAACACATATTATGACTATTGCACTTATCCTCTAAAACACAACTACCCTCTATTGCTACATATCCATTTTTATTGCATCTACATTCATGAATTCCATCTTCATTATATATGCAAGTAGAATCTTCAGGACAACCACCCTTATTTTGTAGGCAAAAATTTTCATGAACACATACACCTTGACTTTTTCTTTTAAAATTTTCTTTGCATTCACATTGAGGAGTGAAATTAACCATTTTACATACTTCATTTCTTCCACAAGTATATTCTAAACAGTAATCTTTTGGTATACATTCACCTCTTTCATTTTTAATATAATGTTGTTTACATTCACATTTTATAATATCACTATCACTATTATACACACATTCTTCATTTTTATTAGTACATATTTGTTCATATTCTTTTCTTTTACATTTATCTTTTGGCACACATTTATTTCCATCTACTGTAATATAATCATTAGGGCAAGAACATTTACCATCTTTAAATATAAATCCATTAGAACATTTACATCTTTTTTCTCCATCCACCATAGAACATACTTTATTTGATGGACATACAAGATCGCATTCATCATTTTCTACACAAGAACCTCCAACATTTTTATATCCATTTTCACATTCACAAAACATTTTATTATCAGTTTCTTTACACACTTGTTTTGTTCCACAATTAGCAGAATCACAATTGGAGGGTTTTTCACAAATACTTTTGTTATTTTTGCTTATATATGGTTTATCACAAAAACATTCGCTTTTAAATTGATTTCCATAACATGAAGAATTTTCAATACAATTGACACATAAATCTGAACACGTATAAGAAACAAAGAGATACTGATCATTTATACAATAAGTATCAAATTGATAAGCCAAACCTATATCACAATCACTTACTCCGTTGCAATAAGATTCTAAAGGAGTAGTTAAATCTAAATCGTCACATCCTTCTCCTGTTTTTAATAATGCTTTTTTTAAAGTTATTTTTCCTCCTTGACACTGTAATTTACTATTATATCTACTCCTAAAAATTTCAACTTTCTCTTTATTTTTGTGAGAATCTTTCTGATTATTGGCTTTACATAAATATTGATATTTGAAAATTGTATTAGAGTTATCACATATATTAAAAATATTCGTATCTTCTACCTTATCTATATCATTTCCATATACACATTTCATCTTTCCATTACATTCTTTTTTTAAAAGTTCTGTAATATATTTCATTTTGTTATTGGAAAACTGAACTTTGTAACATGTTATATAAGCATTAACTACTTCAATTGAATAATCATTTTCACATTTCATAAAAATTTGTTTACTATCTAATGCAGAACCTTCATGTAGATGATCCTGATAAATTGTATTCTTTTTATTTGGTTCTAATTGGATAGCTAATTCTAATTCTTCTACAGTATAACATTTATTATTATAAAAAATTTTATCATTTTCACATTTGCATTCAGCTTGTTTTCCGTCACTAGCACGTTCGCAAGTTGCTCCATCAGGACAAGATAACATTTCACATAAATTTTCAGATTCGCATTTATTACTTAAAGATTCTAATTCTGGATTTCTACATTTGCATGTTCTTTCTGTAATATCACAGTATTCATTAACTGAACAAGTTTCATTTAAGCATGCATTGTTTTTTTGGCATATTTCATCTTCTAATTGTAGTTTATTATAACCATATTTGCATGTTGTTTGATCACTATTTTGATCATTTATAAAACAAGTTTCATCTTCCTTTTTTATATTACAACGTGGTTTACATTCATAATGAATATTCACATAAAAACTATGAGCAGTTAAGCAGGAATTTTCTTTATCAATTTCAGAAAAGTTAATTTCACAATTTCTTTTATCATTGCATGTTTCCATTATATTACTTAAAATATTTTCTTGTAGACATCCATTTTGAGTATGAACATTTATATATCGTATATCTATAACAGAATTATGACAACTTATTATACCATTTTTTTCTCTTTCAAAAAAAAGTTCTTGTAAAATCATATGTGGTTCTACAACGACTGGCTGTCCAACGGAATATACAATTACGTGTGATCTGTTGATATGAGCACAATACATCTTATCATTTTTGTTTTCTTCACTTATGTGTGCATTTTTTGGTATTATACCACAAAAAGTATTATTAATGCATTTTTCTTTTTTATCAGAACTAAAAAAATTTTCTTGAGTTATAAAATAATCACAAGAGTTTTTGTCTGAACTTTCAGAAAAATATTCCCTTATTTTTTCAGGAGCACTAATTGGTAAGAGAGCTTCAACAGATTTATGTGAATAACCATATGATTGTTCTCCATTATTATTTTCAATGTTTTGTGTTGCCAGTTTTTCTCTATTTCTATAATCAAGAGAAAAATCTATACCTTTTAAGTCATCTACATCATAAAATATCCTATCTACTATATCCAAAGAAAGAATTTTTTTTTTTAATACTATAAAAAAAAAAAATAAATGAAAAAACAACATTTTTTTTTTTTTTTTTATTAAACAATTATCCACAATTTTTTCTAATCATGTAATATTTTTATATGATGTTAGTTTTTTTTTTATTATTTTATTCTTTATTGTTATTATTATTTTTTTTATTATATATATATTAATTAAATTTGTTTTTTTTTTTTTTTTTTTTTTTTTTTTTTTTTTTTTA